AGGGACCTTCAAGAAAAAAGCTTACACATTTCTAAAAGGCCGGCAACGCATCTGCAATTCCTCTGGTGTTGCGGTTGTTCATGGGCGGCGGTAGTCACTTACCATCAGGTGAGCCGCATGCTCGTTTGCCCCATCTTCTATAAAAAAACTATTTTATTGAGAAACACAAATATTTTTGTCAGATTTATTTCTAGTTTTATCTGTAAGAAAATTAAAATTTTACAAATTTGGTGCTTTCCAGGCGAATTGGTATCACAGACGCAGAACAGACCTCCCTCATACCTTTGATGGTGCTCCCCTAAATTAAGATTTAAACTTAGGGGAGCACCGTCAAAGGTCACCGTCATAGAGATATGGCGTATATTAAATGGAAAGGAACTTTTGGGCCGACTATGGAAACTGCTAAAATTGTGGCTTAAAACCTGTTTTTACTGCTATCTAGAAAAAAAAACTAAAAAAATGGGGGACGGGTCTTCTATCGCCGTCCGCACACGGCACGTGTGTAGTGTATAGTATTTATAAGTATCGATCAAACACTTGATCTCAAATAAAAAGTGAACTTGATTAATTAATTCCCGAAATTCATCCAACATTCAACATTCATGGCAACAAAAAAGATACGACAGGAAATAATCATTATGCAAACTATTATTTTTATATTAATTCAAATTAATTCACTTATGATAAATGTGGGACGGTAAAAAATTCAAGCTACGTTTCTGTAAACGTCGGATGCGGTTTTAACGGATGCTGCGGCGAAAAAGAAATACTGCTTAAGGTCAATTGCTTCAGCAACAACCTAATATCAGTTTAAATGCTGGGCAGCTAAAGACTATTTTCAAACGCTCTTTACGATTCTATTAAGATCACAATGATCATTTTTAAAAATATGACTTCATACGGAGTTGGGCTCTCGTATTTATAAATGTTGTAATTGGAGGCAAACACGTCGGCGGAATGCCGAGTACGGCCAGCACAAAAAGATGCCGATCGCGTCCCAGGTGCCAGCTTTAATAGCTTAACAGAGTAGAGTATTAAGGTAATGACTCGTCTCGACTCTCGGCTCAGTTAGGACATGGCAGCCATAAAATGCCGCTTTGTAATGTTTTGCACAATAAGCCCTATTAAATATCATGTTTTATCTAAGTATAAAACTATAAGCCCGGAGTAAATATAAGAGGTATCAATGTTTTCGGATATCAGTAGATTGCTATTTTATTCAATCACTTATTTTGTAGTATCTTAATAAAATTACACTTTGTCGCTTGGTGATGGTGTTTGTATTATATTGTTCATTATATAAGAGTGATAAACGGAGCTTACTTTGGTAATCAATTGGTTCATGTAGACTGAAGGAATGCGATCAACTTCAAAGAAAGAAGATTACGGACGCGTTTTTAACCTTTAATTATGTTTGTCAACCCATACAGACTTGTAGGCAAAAGAGGACTCTACCACTTATAAATATAATATGAGATAGTACGTTTATATAGATCGAATATATTTCAAATATAAATTGACTGCGAAGTTCTTTCAATTTAACTTTTAAATACACAATTTTAAAGGCATGTTTGAGAAAAACAGCTAACCAGAAATAATTATGATCGGAAAAGCCACTGGATAAAGAAAGAGAGTTATATAAAGTAGAAAGAAAGTAAGTTTTCAACAGTGGTAGAGCCACGCGGCAGCTTTTGCTGTCACACGGATGGGCTGGCTCGAACCGGGGTGGTACCACGACCTCACAGAATACCAGTGTGAAGTAGAGGTTTACCTCTGCGTTTCGCTTGGTGAGTGCAGGTGGCCGGAGGCCCTTTTTACTGGAAATGAGGCATTCCATCTTAGTCCTCACGGGTGACAACGCATCTGCATTTTGATTCGCAAACGAGGATAGATGTAGATGTCTATGGGCCGCACCAACCACTTACCATCAGGTGGACTGAGTGCTCGTTTGTCACCCTTATCCTATAAAAAAAAAGTAAGAAGAAGAGTAGAGTTGCCAGTACTGTTGATTTATTTCAACTTATGCAAAACGGTAAGAAAGGTAGAATAGAGTCACAGTCTAACTATGTTCTTCTTAAGCTGTGATAGTCTATCTTTCACTAATTAAAGAGGCGGACAAAGACTTGAGTTTTGAGCGCACAACTGTTTGTCAAAAAAATAAATGAGACACCTGAACACTCCTAATCTACAAAAGGAAAAAATTAAAAAAAATGTTTATCATTGCCATTGAAATGTAAAATGTAGTTATAAAAGTGCACCTATATTACCATTTTTTTAATAAGATAAGGGTGACAAACGAGCACACAGTCCACCTGATGGTAAGTGGTTGCTGTGGCCCATAGACATCTACATCTATCTTCGATTACGAATCAAAATGCAGATGCGTTGTCACCCGTTAGGACTAAGATGGAATGCCTCGTTTCCAGTAAAACGGGTCTCCGGTTCTCTACACTCACCATACGAAACACAGCAGCATTGAGCTGCTATTTTACGCTGGTATTCTGTGAGAGCGTGGTCCTTCCCCGGTTGAGCCGACCCATTCGTGCTACAACCATAATATAACTGCAGCATCGCTGCAGGCTCTACCACGTGGTAAAATTCATTGATAGGTAACAACATAAAAGACATTATAAGAACAATTTCGCATCATTGGTATACCTAATGTAGATGTTATGTTTTTCTACGTACGCATATATGCAATATAACCATTGACATTTTTCCACTTGTAGTGGGTATCCTTTTGTATTTGTTAATGTAATACAAAACGGAATTGTCATCTGATTATAAAAATTATTTGTAAGTAATTAGAGCGCTTAATTTAAACGGTATTTGCATAACGCGTACGTAATGTCCATATAAAATCGTACATTAATTGAAGTAGTTAATTAAATAACGGAGCATCTTGAAGGTGTAACTGAAAAATAACTGTAGATTAATTACCGGATGAAAACTGATTTCTATAAAGCTCAAAGTGTTTTTTTTATTGAATTTTGTATTACTTATAAATATTAACGACTGGTTGTTTAATAATATTTTACATTAAAAATTGTTTTATAAAATATAACGCGTAAAGACAACGAAGCTTACATATTGCTTTAGCGTCGTCTTACAACCGCAGTTGGTAGCGCGGTTAAATAGCTATTAAGCGATACAAGAAAACTCACGAATGCCTCGTTTAATAAACAAGGCTTTGGAACATTTAGTTATTGTTAAAATTTTGTGTGTTGTTTTCAATTTTATGCGATAAGCTCTGTTCGTGTTATTGCCAGCGAATAATAAATCACTCACTTATAATTAAAGTAAATTGACAATCGTTTTAGAGGTATACCTATTTAAGAGTGATGACCTGCTTAGCCCTGCACCTCATTGCTGAGGTACTGCGCCACGGAGTCAAAAATTTCATTGTAATTTTTGATTAATGATCCACCTGCATCCACCGTGAGTTCGTGAGCGTCAGAACCTTTAGGCCATGAGAGAAGTTTGATGTCTGAGCAACACCAAAATTCACATGTCTTTCTAGGTTGTCACTCCATCTAGTGTTTGTTGAATAGAATAGAATAGAATAGAATCATTTTTGTTCAATATAGACCCAGCGGATATTTTTAAAAACACAATTAACAATATAACATTTTATACAATTGTTATGAAAACATTTAGAAACAGCATGGTAGCGATCACCTCACTCCCAGAGGTTATTATCAGTCATGTAATCTTTAGTAACGTAATAACCATTACTAGAAAATTGTTGCTTAATAAATAGTTTAAACCTTTTGATAGATAAGGTACTTTGCATATTTTCTGGGACTTTGTTGTAAAAGCGTATACATTGCGCCATGAAGGAATTACTTACTCTTTGAAGTCGAGTAACTGTTATAACTAACTTGTGCTTGTTCCTAGTATTTACAGAATGTACATCACTATTTTTTTGTTTTTGTGTACAAACATTAAATTCTCGTAAATATATTGAGAGGCCATAGTTAATATATATATGTTTTTAAATTTTTCTCTAAGGTATTCCTTCGGACCTAGGTTATAAATTGCTCTTATGGCTCTCTTTTGCAAAACAAAGGTAGTTTCAATGTCAGTCGTATTACCCCATAGCAAGATTCCATATGACATTATGCTATGGAAATAACTAAAATAAACTAATCTATCTGTTTCAACACATGTACCGAACTAAGTTTGCTAGCTAGTTTAGATATATGAAGGCCATTGAAGCTTCGGGAAGCAACTGTAATTCCGAGAAAAATAATTCCGAGAAAAACAGGGCCCAGCTCCTCCCCATTTAAAAGCACACTGTTATTCACCTGTTTAACATTAGGTGTAGTGAATGTCATACATTTATACATACACATCCAGTGTACTACTTTTGATATAGCATTATTCAAGTCGTCACACGTTGGGTGATACATTCCGTTTACCCTTTCAACCAGTCGGAGTTCGAGTTTTCTAAACGCAGTGATTAAATGCTTTTTGGATCTGTCGCGAAACGCTAGTGCTAGAAGATATAATGCGCTAAGTTAATGTCATTTTCTCAAAGTTGTGTTATTTCATATTTTTAATGACTACTAATAGTCTTAATAGCCGTAATGATTTTTATGACTGGGGTTGTTGTAATGATAATAGACTAATTGCAGGGATGCATAGCGCAGTGTCTAAATTTTGAAGGTGTTGTGGTGGTTGATACATCTGTGCGTGTTTACGCAAATCCTTCCAATTTAGGTGAAGGTCCAGCTGTGGCCAAATTTGATCTTAAATTGACTTACTTATAACTTTAAAACAATTGATAAAATTTAATTGAGAAAATTCTTCAGAGAGCGTGGTTGCAATACTTATAACTTATAAGCATTTCTTCTCGATTTTAGGTTAAAATGAATCTATTTCTTCTTAAGCTATAACGATTAATATGAATCCTTTGCGTGTACATAATCGTAGCAAATTATCGATAGTACCTAAGCTGCTAGTTGCTCGTTAGGTAATAAACTTAATAGATTTAATACCTGTATTCGTGCCTCTGTCAATCCGATCTTCATTGCGAGCTCTTCTCTGAAACAAAAATTACTAAGTGTCAAAACTACCCTCATCAAATTATATAAATGATAAGTAACACAATTGTAATCGAGAAGAATAGCAATAGGATATTGTAAAATATTTTGAACTATTATTTTAAAATATTGTTACTGTGCGAAAAAATATATATTGACATAGTAATTAGGATTGCGAACATTTAATATCCATCCAATTATATAATTGATAAGTAACACAATTGTAATCGAGAAGAATAGCACTAGGATATTGTAAAATATTTTAAACTATTATTGTAAAATAATGTTACTGTGCGAAAAAATATATATTGACATAGTAATTAGGATTGCTAACTTTTAATAACCATCCAATTATATAATTGATAAGTAACACAATTGTAATCGAGAAGAATAGCACTAGGATATTGTAAAATATTTTAAACTATTATTGTAAAATAATGTTACTGTGCGAAAAAATATTATTGACATAGTAATTAGGATTGCTAACTTTTAATAACCATCCAATTATATAATTGATAAGTAACACAATTGTAATCGAGAAGAATAGCACTAGGATATTGTAAAATATTTTAAACTATTATTGTAAAATAATGTTACTGTGCGAAAAAATATATATTGACATAGTAATTAGGATTGCTAACTTTTAATAACCATCCAATTATATAATTGATAAGTAACACAATTGTAATCGAGAAGAATAGCACTAGGATATTGTAAAATATTTTAAACTATTATTGTAAAATAATGTTACTGTGCGAAAAAATAATATTGACATAGTAATTAGGATTGCTAACTTTTAATAACCATCCAATTATATAATTGATAAGTAACACAATTGTAATCGAGAAGAATAGCACTAGGATATTGTAAAATATTTTAAACTATTATTGTAAAATAATGTTACTGTGCGAAAAAAAATATATTGACATAGTAATTAGGATTGATAACTTTTAATTACCATCCAATTATATAATTGATAAGTAACACAATTGTAATCGAGAAGAATAGCACTAGGATATTGTAAAATATTTTAAACTATTATTGTAAAATAATGTTACTGTGCGAAAAAATATATATTGACATAGTAATTAGGATTGCTAACTTTTAATAACCATCCAATTATATAATTGATAAGTAACACAATTGTAATCGAGAAGAATAGCACTAGGATATTGTAAAATATTTTAAACTATTATTGTAAAATAATGTTACTGTGCGAAAAAATATATATTGACATAGTAATTAGGATTGCTAACTTTTAATAACCATCCAATTATATAATTGATAAGTAACACAATTGTAATCGAGAAGAATAGCACTAGGATATTGTAAAATATTTTAAACTATTATTGTAAAATAATGTTACTGTGCGAAGAAATATATAATGACATAGTAAATAGGATTGCTAATTTTTAATTACCATCCAATTATATAATTGATAAGTAACACAATTGTAATCGAGAAGAATAGCACTAGGATATTGTAAAATATTTTAAACTATTATTGTAAAATAATGTTACTGTGCGAAAAAAAATATATTGACATAGTAATTAGGATTGATAACTTTTAATTACCATCCAATTATATAATTGATAAGTAACACAATTGTAATCGAGAAGAATAGCACTAGGATATTGTAAAATATTTTAAACTATTATTGTAAAATAATGTTACTGTGCGAAAAAATATATATTGACATAGTAATTAGGATTGCTAACTTTTAATAACCATCCAATTATATAATTGATAAGTAACACAATTGTAATCGAGAAGAATAGCACTAGGATATTGTAAAATATTTTAAACTATTATTGTAAAATAATGTTACTGTGCGAAAAAATATTATTGACATAGTAATTAGGATTGCTAACTTTTAATAACCATCCAATTATATAATTGATAAGTAACACAATTGTAATCGAGAAGAATAGCACTAGGATATTGTAAAATATTTTAAACTATTATTGTAAAATAATGTTACTGTGCGAAAAAATATATATTGACATAGTAATTAGGATTGCTAACTTTTAATAACCATCCAATTATATAATTGATAAGTAACACAATTGTAATCGAGAAGAATAGCACTAGGATATTGTAAAATATTTTAAACTATTATTGTAAAATAATGTTACTGTGCGAAAAAATATTATTGACATAGTAATTAGGATTGCTAACTTTTAATAACCATCCAATTATATAATTGATAAGTAACACAATTGTAATCGAGAAGAATAGCACTAGGATATTGTAAAATATTTTAAACTATTATTGTAAAATAATGTTACTGTGCGAAAAAAAATATATTGACATAGTAATTAGGATTGATAACTTTTAATTACCATCCAATTATATAATTGATAAGTAACACAATTGTAATCGAGAAGAATAGCACTAGGATATTGTAAAATATTTTAAACTATTATTGTAAAATAATGTTACTGTGCGAAAAAATATATATTGACATAGTAATTAGGATTGCTAACTTTTAATAACCATCCAATTATATAATTGATAAGTAACACAATTGTAATCGAGAAGAATAGCACTAGGATATTGTAAAATATTTTAAACTATTATTGTAAAATAATGTTACTGTGCGAAGAAATATATAATGACATAGTAAATAGGATTGCTAATTTTTAATTACCATCCAATTATATAATTGATAAGTAACACAATTGTAATCGAGAAGAATAGCACTAGGATATTGTAAAATATTTTAAACTATTATTGTAAAATAATGTTACTGTGCGAAAAAAAATATATTGACATAGTAATTAGGATTGATAACTTTTAATTACCATCCAATTATATAATTGATAAGTAACACAATTGTAATCGAGAAGAATAGCACTAGGATATTGTAAAATATTTTAAACTATTATTGTAAAATAATGTTACTGTGCGAAAAAATATATATTGACATAGTAATTAGGATTGCTAACTTTTAATAACCATCCAATTATATAATTGATAAGTAACACAATTGTAATCGAGAAGAATAGCACTAGGATATTGTAAAATATTTTAAACTATTATTGTAAAATAATGTTACTGTGCGAAAAAATATATATTGACATAGTAATTAGGATTGCTAACTTTTATTAACCATCCAATTATATAATTGATAAGTAACACAATTGTAATCGAGAAGAATAGCACTAGGATATTGTAAAATATTTTAAACTATTATTGTAAAATAATGTTACTGTGCGAAAAAATATATATTGACATAGTAATTAGGATTGCTAACTTTTAATAACCATCCAATTATATAATAGATAAGTAACACAATTGTAATCGAGAAGAATAGCACTAGGATATTGTAAAATATTTTAAACTATTATTGTAAAATAATGTTACTGTGCGAAGAAATATATAATGACATAGTAAATAGGATTGCTAATTTTTAATTACCATCCAATTATATAATTGATAAGTAACACAATTGTAATCGAGAAGAATAGCACTAGGATATTGTAAAATATTTTAAACTATTATTGTAAAATAATGTTACTGTGCGAAAAAAATATATTGACATAGTAATTAGGATTGATAACTTTTAATTACCATCCAATTATATAATTGATAAGTAACACAATTGTAATCGAGAAGAATAGCACTAGGATATTGTAAAATATTTTAAACTATTATTGTAAAATAATGTTACTGTGCGAAATAAAATATTGACATAGTAATTAGGATTGCTAACTTTTAATTACCATCCAATTATATAATTGACAAGTAACACAATTGTAATCGAGAAGAATAGCACTAGGATATTGTAAAATGTTTTAAACTATTATTGTAAAATAATGTTACTCTGCGAAAAAATACATATTGACATAGTAATAAGGATTGCCAACTTTTATTTACCATCCGATTATATAATTGATAAGTAACACAATTGTAATTGAGAAGAATAGCTCTAGGATATTGTAAAAATATTTTAAACTATTATGGTAAAATAATGTTACTGTGCGAATAAATATATTTTTACATAGTAATTAAGGTTGCCAACTTTTTTATTTCAAATATTAAGTATTATCAAGTTACTATTACCTATAAAAGTATAGTATACAGTGAAAAAATAAAAAATAACATATAGTAAATTTTAAAGGTGTTTAATGTACTATATATTATTTTTTATTTTTTGTGTGATGACTTGGTAAGGCATGCAAGAAATCGAGAAACATCAGAATCGAAGTCACTCTGGGTTATGTTTAGCAGTGGATTTGTGAAGGACTGTAATGATGATGATGTTTCAAATCAATTTTTATTGGATTTTTAAGGTAATATTTTTCCATGAAATGGGGTTATAAATTCTCTTATGCAGTCACCAAATCGTAAGAACTCTTAGAGTTTGTACTCTTCATATCCTTCAAAATGAAATATAACATCAATTGAATAATTTACTACTGTTTTGAAGATGCAGAAAGGGTAACATACAATAATGGTGACAAACGAGCACACAGTGCACCTGAGGGTGAGACGATGCTGTGACATATGGACACATAAATTTACCTTCGATCATGAATCAATATGCAGTCTATGCGTTATAACGCATGAGGACAGAGATGGAATACCACATCGAACGAGAAGAACCAACTTTTGGTTGGGCCCTTTTTACTAGTAAAAAAGGGTCTCTGGTTCTCGTTATAAATACGGAACGAAACGGCTTTATGCTGGTATTTTCTGAGCTTTCTATTGGCCGTGTAGTAGCGATGTAAGAATATCTACTACCCCATATCGTTCCGTGGGTGTCGTAAGAGGCGACAGAGGGAAATAAACCAAGAGATGGGTAACAACGTCTTTCTTATAATAACTATAAAATAAAAAATGGCGGTTGTCAAGACTGAACTCTGATAGGCTGTAATAAATAAATCGTGAATGAATTTCCCGAGAGCGTTAAACGTCTAATATTTCCCTTTGTATTGAAATTAATCTTTTTGATGAAGATAGAGTGTAGTTTTGAATTATTCTTTTGTGATTCATATACTTTGCATCATCAACCTCAATATTACTTAGTGTTTGTTCCTTCGTTCGTAGGTAGAAATCAAAATTTTTGATATGATATTTTTCTATTTATAAACGATAAGATAAGAACGATAAAAAGTTATGACACATAAAAATATTTATATCATTTGTTTATTTAAATGTAACTTTTGTAGACAGTATGTTGACTTAAATATTGTAATATTTTCCATTTAAATAATATCGTTGCCATTATGTATATTATGCGAATTACTAAAAGAGCCATCAGCCAGAAATTTTCTGTTCTTTGTAATTTCTAACTCACTCACGATTGATATTCCTCTATAGGACAGTTATTACACTCTTTGTCTTAGAATGATTTATGTATGAACAGATAATGATGCGAAACTAAATTTTCACGTCGTCGCTTAACACGACGTTTACACTTAGCATGTTGAGCAACATGTTGCGCATTAATTTTTGCCTGATAAGTGCATGGCTTTAGTATTTACGTTGTAAATTATTTTTTGGTAGCTTACTGAAATGACGATGTTTTTATCAATGCTAAACGGCCACACCTCGCAGTAAGAATAAGTGATAAAGGGGTTCCAGGTACGTTACAGTTTCAGAGAGATTTAAAACAACAAAACAATACAAAACCCACGCGTGTAATATGCAAAAACTTTCTATGTTCATCACATCAAAAGATATATATTAAGATTTGTACAAGTTAAAAACGATCGGGTTGGCTGTGTTAATGTAGGGTATCGAGTAAATGAAGCTCTTTTATCTATTATGGAAAGTTAAAATGCGTTAAAAAAGACACGTATCGCTGTTGAAAATGTTGTGTTAATATCTTCCTTAATGAATGGTAGTGAAAGTAATCAGAAAAAGCATGATAGTAAAATTAATATCTGTAGAAATGCAGCCATCACAATATGTTGTGATGAGGACTAAGAAAGAAATACGACGTTTGGACACGCAAGAAGAATGGATGAGAAAAAAGTGACAAAGAAAATTTATGTTGCAGAAGTGAGTGCTCTATATAGAAGTTCAAACAAATTGGCGATTGATAATGTGCCCAATTAAGAGTACCCTTAGTGACGAGCATGTATGCGTTGATATATGGATGTTAAAGAAGCAAGAGAGGTGTGTTTTTTTTTTATATTGCATGTATTTATTATTATTTCTAAGACAAGATAACGCTACATCAATGCGATTTGATACATTGATGAGATATCAATCTTCATCATATTATCACTTACATATTTATTCTACACAAAATGAAATTAATAGTGAGAAAGCAAGATCTATTGTTCGTATGTATACTCTAAACATTATAATTTAATTGCAAATTATAAAAAAAATATTATGAACATAGGTTAAACGAAAGGGATTGCCTATAGAAATACAAAATAATATAAGTAAAATACAGGGTATTCTTATTTTTTTGCTTATAATTTGTCTTTAGCTTATGATTTGTTAGCAATCATTAATATTAATATCTTATAGTCGAAAACAATGTGTGAGTCATAAAATTGTTCAAGTGCGATTAGCTTATGAAAGATAATAATAATAAAGTTGTGTATAGCTATGAGTATATACAATTTGTAAGGATCGTGACAAATGGAAGTCCGTAGTCTCTACCTATTACTCTGGGTAACAGGCGTGGGAATTAGAGCTGTTATATTTTAATTATGAAATTTTGGAAATGAAGCATCGTGTTTCGTGTTGCAAACTTTTCAGCAGTCACAATATTATCACAAGCTATGTTGACTTCGATGATGATAACATACGTGGAAATGATGTTGGTTCTTATATCAGTTTCCTTAACTCTATTCTTACTCCTAATTTTATTACCTCTCAATGTAAGATTTATTAACGTGGTATTGGCTAGTTGCACCTAAATACTTATTGTAATTGTGTTGGCTGCATAAGATAATCATTCAACTCATTTCGTTCCTTGGGTGTCGTAAGAGGCGACTTTAAATTTACATATATAGCTTTAACTTCAAGTTTAGTTTTACTGAAATCTTGTGCTCATCCGTCCTGGGATTTAATCGCCGCGGTGTAACGTAGTGTAGATACTACAAAGATCCCACAGTCATTGTTTATGTTTAGTGTAAATAAAGATCGGTGAAGATCAATAGAATATGATGATTTTTATAAGTTACAAAATACTTTAATAGTAAATGTCCACCTTACGGAAACAAACAACAAAAACAAATCGCTGTTTTTAAAACACGCATTAACTTAAGTTATAGCCAGAATACGTCCTACTGCTGGGTAGAGGCCTCTTATTTGTGAATGGGGTTTTAGGGCAAGGAAATGTTCGCTGTGCTGCACCAATGCATATTTGCGGATTTCAAATGTCTTTGAAATATTATTTTAATCACCATGACATCCAGATTTATTCACAAGATTTTCTTTCACTGACCAGCTGTGTTAAGCAAAAAACAATTTCATTTGTTTCGGCACACTACACGACACACGCAAGCACTTAACTTCTAAACTACCACGGCTCTCGTAAATCTCAAAAGCAAATGACGCGTAGAAAACTGCAATGATGCGACACTCACCTAGTAAAAACGTCAGGGTAATGCGTTCTTGAGAAAGCTTTTTCTAGTTCTTCTAATTGAAAACTCGTGAAGGTTGTTCTATATCTTCTTTGCTTTCTCTTTGGAGTGAAATCATCGGCGTCATCACTGTCAGCTGATCCTGGCGGAGGACGCTCTGATGCCGGGGACTGGTCAGCACGAGGTAACTCTGGAGTGGTTCGGGGAGAATCGTCTTTTGACACCTCAGACAATCCCATTGTGGCGTACTTTTGATATGATTCTTGGGGATAATAATCTGAAAAGAGGCGGAGATTATGATTAGGATGTCGAAAATTTAATATGAAATATACTAGATATAAAATATGCGTAAATATTTACGAATAAATTATTCTCCACGCTACCAAAATAAAGCTTAATTATCTAAATTTTGCTATGCACGGTCTTTTGTTTCTCTCTCTCTCTCTCTCTCTCTCTCTTTATCGCTCTCTTTCTCTCTCTCTCGCTTTTTTCTTTTAGATTTTTAGTAAACGGACAGTTCTTTGATCTAGTGCGAATTGTAGAACTACATAATGTGAACGTACACATACCCATGTTCTACATATAGGTATGTGGAAATTTGATGGTATGTGATCAAACTATGTTAAGAATAGTTTGATCACATACCATCAAATTTCCTAGCCTCGCCTTGAACCAGAGCTATCACCACATAAGATGTCTTAATTTAAATGTACCCATAAATTACCGACCAACTTTAAAATTCGAATTTCGAACGACATTCATTGTTTATTGGATTATGGTTCTAGAATTATAATTTATAGGTTATATTCCAATTTTGATATTACGAGCAGTCAGATAGAGGAGCAGATACAGGTGGGTGGTATGTAGGTTATTATTAGGGTCCATAAGAAATAAATTATCTACATGTTTCGAGAACAAGTATGCGTCGACTACTCATGCATTTGCGATACTAATTATTAATAATAGATGAAAGGATACAATTTGTTCTTTAATTAGGCCTTAGCAGCGTTGTAAGGAGTTGCATCTGCGCAACACGGTAACTAAATTGCTATTTGCTGCTTTAGATTAAAACCCTTTGTTTTTATTTCATATTATGTGAATTATCCCGTATTTGATAAAAACCGCCAAGGTTTCCTTTGACATATTCTGAACTTGTATTTAACTTTTGGAATTGAATTGGATTTACAAATATTTGGTTTTATAAATTTATAACATTATATGCATATAAAGAACATAATTAACATTATATTGTTTTTATACATGTAGCTCCTAAACTATCACAGCTCTCGTCAATCTCAAAAGCATATCATGCATACAAACTATAATGATGCGACACGTTAGGGTTTTGCATTATACACACACACACACACACACCACACACACACACACACACACACACACACACACACACACACACACACATATATATATATACACGCAATGACGGAGCGGATCATACACACACACACACACACACACACACACACACACACACTCTCACACACACACACATATGTGTGTGTGTGTGTGTGTGTGTGTGTGTGTGTGTGTGTGTGTATGATCCGCTCCGTCATTGCACGGGTGATTTCTGGATCTTAAAAACAGCGCCACCTACCGAGTCCAATCGTGATTCTAAACCGTTCTCGAATCAACTTAATCAGATACACACAATTTCATCAAAATCAGTCCAGCCGTTAAGAAGGAGTTCAGTCACATAAGCACGGGGAGAAGTATGTTATTTATAAAGATATATAGATATATTTGACGCACCACCTATATCAAATATTTTAATGAAATGAGGAGCCGTGAAAGCTTAAGGAAAAGAAGGAGTTCAGTCACATAAACACGGAGAGAAGAATTTTATATATAAATATATATAGATATATTTCACGCACCACCTATATTAAATGTTTTAATGAAATGATGAGTCGTGAAAGAAAGTGCTTTAGCTCGCTGTAAATATTCCAATATTCGAGCAACCCATATCCGAACACCGCCGGCACCAAATAAAAGTGTTAATTGCAATTTTATATTGCATATCTGAGGAAAAAAATATTTCTCGAAGACATGTGAAGTCAGGCTGTACGCACGAGAGCAACGCGGCGTACTAATTGGTCTATAACCCCATCAGAAATGAACCTTCTGACACAAATGCAAATCGTTTGATCATTTCACCTTAGGAGGCTATGTATGGAGAGACCTATGTCCAGTAGTGTACTTTGATAAGCTGTAATGAATAAATGTGAATGAAACAATTATTATTCACCGTGGTTCTAACCTTACATCTAATAAGCGATTGGCAGTTAATAAGTTAATGTGATAATTTCTACGAGGTAGAGCTACGACGGCGCAAATGGGTCGGCTCGAATGGGGAACGAAGTAGGGAGAATTCCTTCTATAACTTCATAAGCTTACTTTTATTGAGTGCGAACTATCGACAATTAAACACGTTTTCACGTTAAATATTTCCATACAATTATTAGGAAACACAGCAGAAAAGCAAAAAATAACCGCTCAGCGCGCGTCTCGAGATCGCATGTGATATAAACGAGCGAAGTAACAACACTAATTAAGTTTACAAATTACCGGTCGCAGGAAGTTCACCTTTTATTTTTGTTGTGTATGTTAATATTTATTAGGTCATGTAAGGTTGTACTTGATATGAGATATTGAAATAACATAAGTAAAAATGTACAAATGTAAGTTAAAAGAATAAAAATATTAGAAATTAGCTGTTCCCCGCGACTTCGACCGCGTGTAATTTAGGGTTTTAATTTTGTGCGGATCCCTAATTATTTTTCTAAAATATAAGTAGCCTAAGTTACTCCTTATAACATCAGCTATCTACCAGTGAAAGTCCCGTCAAAATCGGTCTAGCCGTTTCAGAGATTAGCTGGAACAAACAGACAGACAGACAGATAAAAATTTTAAAAATTGTGTTTTTGTTATAGGTACCGTATATAGTTTTATATGCAACTAGCTGTTCCCCGCGACTTCCGCTACCTACATTGCACTTTACGACACCCATGGGATGAAATGGGGTGGTAGATATTTTTACGCCGTCACCACACAATAAAGTTTTATGCTAAGAACAAATTAATGTTTTTCTTCATTTCACCAGTTCGCCAGTTCTCTGCTAAACAAAGACCTTGCCAAGAAGATGCAGGTTGGCAAGAATTGTCAAAAAGATTATATCATTACCACATAAAACAGGCGTAAGAAGAGCAGCTCCTAAACACCAGTTTGTGAGTTATTGAGTTTAGATAGATTCTGCAATTAGTTCTGCAATTAGTCGGTCAAATCCTTGTACGTCAATTAACAGAGTGGGCCGCATGCAGATATAGATATAGGTTTGGCGAAAGGAGGGGGGGGGGGGCTATTCCCGTCCTTTTAACGTCCACAGAATAATAATGGTATATGACGGATTTAACAAAAATAGTGACACAAGTCCTCGACTTAAAATTCCATAGTGAGGAGATCAGGATCGATCCTCACAGGAAGATTGCCAATTGAACTGCTAATTTAACACGTGTTCGGCGGTGAGGTAATACTTCGTGGCAAGTATATATACTAATAAATACTTTAAGGCAATACGTCTTCCAACATTAAACATGGTAGAGCCATGCTGCAGCTATATTAGTAGTATAGTTGTAGCACGAATGGGTCGGCTCGACCGGGGAAGGACAACGCTCTCACAGAATACCAACGTAAAATAGCAGCTTAACACTGCTGTGTTTCGTATGGTGAGTGTAGAGATCCGGAGACCCTTTTTACTGGAAAAGAGGCATTCCATCTTAGTGCTCACGGGTGACAACGCATCTGCATTTTGATTCGCAAACGAGGATAAATGTAGATGTCTATGGGCCACAGCCACCACTTAACAGCAGGTGGACTGTGTGCTCGTTTATCACCCTATCCTATAAAAAAAATTTTTTGCAGCGCAGCAGTCTTTGTTGTCCCAAAAACCCTCTCACAAATGAGAGTCCGTGCTAAGAAGTAGAACGATAAGTTCCTACTTATGAAAAAATTGTGGTATAAATAAAGACAAGCAAGATTACTAGTACTAAACGGAACAGAAATGAAAAAAAATAATTAAATAAATCTGTTCTAAAACGATGTCACAAGTCTGTGTCGAATTTGAAACAACGACTCACAGCTGACTCCCATACTATCGGTCGACGACGTTGACTCACACAACTATCGTAACACGATCTCACTCAAACGGACTTCCACTTATGAATGACATAATTCGCGTGAACATTCGCAACTCCTAATTGCCATCATCGACACACGATAAGGCCCGTATAGATAATGAAACTTCCTGTGCACTTCGATGTTATCACACCAAGTTCCATTCACTACCAACACTTTTTTTATCAAAACACATACTAACAAACCTTGTTTACAATAATAACGCGAATTAAAATTGTAACAAAATTTAAAACTATGTTTTTAATATTTCAGGCGATAACATTGTTTGATAACTTGTTAACAAGTAACATTTTGTTAGAAACGATATTATACTATCGTAATTCATAATACAATTAAAAAGTTTGCATTCATAGTTTACTTAGTTTCTCTTACTAGTGTATGATCAGAGAGGTCTAAAATAAATAACATAATATAATAAATTTATCGAAACCTAATCATGTGTCAGAATGATTTACGTGCCTAAATATGTAATCAAGGAAAATAAAAATACTCATGATAAGGCTTGTATGTACAGGGCAATATACGCCCAAATTTGCATAGAAGGTTCAGAATTAGTAATATAGGCGAAAGGTGAAGAAAAATTAATTAAATATCTATTCTCTTTATCTTTTTATTTCAGAATGCGTGGTAATGCATTATTTTAACTGATTGTCATTCATACATATCTAACGCCTATTATTTTACTACTCACGCACATTCAATTTGCGATAATTTCAAGTAAAAGTTTCTACTTTTATTATATATTCTATACCCTTATTTACTCATCTTTTCAAAAACTACAATAACGGTATATCATTATTTATAATTAAATAAATATAAAATTTGGATACTCTATGAAAAAAAATCCTGTATATTTGAATCAAAGGTTGAATGAAAAGAAAATAGAAACAAATGTGATGGCTGATTTAAAAAAATAAATTTCATAATAATCTTTATATTAAACATATTATTCTACTGCACGAGTGTTTGTCACTGAACTCCTAAACGGCTGGACCGATTTAGATGTATTTTTGTGCGTGTAAGGGTGCGTATAGATTAAGTAACATGTTGTGTAACTTTTGTTTT